TCATTTGACTGTAGCTTTTCTAATGAGTATGTGGACAGTTCAGTCACCATCATTTTTAATCAATATTAATTCATGCATCACTATAAAAATATACTCTGACAATTTTCATATCAGCTTGGATGAAGGTGATTGTAACACAATACATTCTGTAGGTCCCAGCTTGAGCTCTGATTTTCCCATGAAAACTTCTCATCAGATACAGGAGCTGCTTTCTCTTTCCTAGACCTACACTTCTCATTAGTATTTAGCACATGCTTCTTCGCATTTGATTATTTATGCAGGCAATTACTTTATCCACCAGACTCTTAGGTCTTTGAGGTCTAAGATTTTATTTTTGTACCTTACCATCATAGACCTTAATGAATATTTGTTGAATGAACTATGAATATTTGCAACATTTGCTCCATATTTAATGTAACAAAGTGACGATATTAAGATCACAGGCTCTGGAGCCAGACTGTCTGCATGTGGATGGTAGTTCTGCAATGTGTGACCTTTGTGAGCCTAGGCAAGGAGATTAATCTTTCGAAACCCCAGTTTTCTAAATATGAGACATTTTAGATTATGCTTAGCATATGAAAAGTAGAATGCAGGCATCAGCTCCTTTCAATGTGTGTGTGCTTTTGCCCTGTGCTGAAGATGAAGTGTATGATGAAGGCAGAGGCAGTGATCCACAGCGAAGCACCGGGCTGAGCGAGAGGGCAAAGGGGTCAAGACCATGATGGGGAAATCCACAGAGACACCTGACCTGAGCTAGTGGGAGTTCATGGACTCCGGACTGACAGCTGAGGAACCTGCATGGGACCAAGCAAGACCTTCTGAATGTGGGTGACAGTTATGTGGCTTGGTCTGTTGAAGTGGGCGGGGGGGGGGGGGTGTCAGTTGGGACCAGCACTTATTCTGGGNGGTACATGAACTGGTTTTTGGGAGTCCATTCCTTGTGGTGGGATACCTTGCTCAGTCTTGATCTGGGGGTTGGGGGGTCTTGGCCCTGCCTCAACTTGGTATGCCAGGCATTGTTAACTCTCCAAGAGAGGCCTTAACCTCTCTGAGGAATAGATGGGGGTGGGATGGGAGGGAGTGGGGGCAGGAGAAGAGGAGGGAGGGGGAGCTGGGGTTGGTATATGAAATGAAAAAGAAACTTTTTAAAAATAATTAAAATTAAATAAATAAGTCCGTGAAAGCAGCAACCTTAGAAAGTGAGGGGAAGATAATGGGGGAAAAGGGGTTAGGGTTAGAATTCTTCCTCAAAGATAGTTGTGTGTGGCTTGACAGCAGGACGTGTTCTGAGCAATCTGTTACGTCCTAGGTGGTTTCATCATGAGTAACCATCAGTCTCTACTCACATAGTCTGAGTCCGGTGTGCATGGGGTCTGTGTGGTATGGACTGTTGCTCCTGTCTGGCTGGCTACACAGTCTGCTCTCCTCCTGACTGCTGTAGGTAGTTGTAACACAACGGAAAATACAATGAAAATATGAACTAGTATGCAATCGTTTGCACTCTTATACTCCTGTGGAGCTGTTCTTGCATTTGTGGTCATCCACGGAGATGTCATTCTATGCCACCTGCCTGAGTTGACTTTGGAAAAGAATGGAAGTCATGTGTCTTTTACACACATCAGTTAAACTGTCTACAGCAAGACTGCAGAGTTAACGGAGGGGGCTCACCTATCTCTCCCCATGGTAGAACGCCTGGATGGTCAGCAATGTCTGTTTGGGGAGACTCCCCTTCCTTGAGTATTCCTAATATGGCTTGCTGATGTCACTTTATCTAGAAGCAGTTCTGACCTCCAGGCAATGGATCTGGCTTTCAGTCAAGCTTTTCAACTAAGCCTGTGAGTCCCTGTCTGTAGTTCACTCTTTCCTCCTGGTTGGTCACTATCCAGGCGTTACTGTTCTGCCACCTGACACAGAATAGCTTTTATCACGAGCGTGCCTCTGTCTGCAAGTCATGTTTTTACATTAAGACCGCCCTCTCTTTCCCAGGCACAGGGTCTTTTCATCATGGCAAGAGGAAGCTGAGCTCTGGGGATTGTTGTAGGGGTGAACATTTCTTAAGTTGTTACAATGTATCGAAGGTGATGCTCACTGTATAGACTGTCACTTTTAATCCTGATTGTATTACAAAGGGGAAACTACTGCTTTCAGTAAAGTATGAGTGAGAAGGCATATTCAGAGGGGTTAAGGAAGTCGTTTAATATCAGACTGCAAAGCAAGAAGCCACACTATCCTCCTTCGCTTAATTATTCATTTGGTTACCGTAACACAGGTACTCTAATAAAATGCCTTCTAAACTTCGTTATTAATATTTTTACTGTGAGTATGCATGCGTGTGGTGTGTGTGTTTTGTGATGCATGTATATGTGCATGTATGAGTGTATGTGAGCATGTGTGTGCACATGTGTGTTGTACGTGTGCATGTGTGAGTGTGTGAGAGCATTGCGATGCGTGTATACACATGTATGATGTGTATGTGTGAGATGTGTGATGTGTGTGAGTGTGTGTATATGGTGTGTGTGTAAACAGAGGCTCATGTTGAGTATCTAAATCTAATACTCACCATTTTATTTTCAAAGATTGAATTTCTAATTGAACCTGGAGCTTGCTATCTGGCTAGATTAGCTGCCCAGTGAGCTTCAGAGGATGCTCCTTTCTTGGCCTCTCCAGTTCTGGGATTGCAGATTTCTGTTGCTACTCCCAGCTTTTTTATATAGGCACTGAGGACATGGACTCAGGTCTCTGTGTTTGCATGACAAGCCCTCCAGCAACTGAGCCATCTTTCCAGAAATGCATTGTTTTTTTTTCTTAAAAAAAAAAGAGACTCCCTTTACCTCAAATTTCCTATTTTTAAAACTATTCTTTACCTGTTTGTTCAGAAACTAGACTATCTCACAAATATTTAATGTACAGGCATCAGAGGAAGAGAATAAGTTGTTGATATACCTTTAGCTTTATTGAGAGCAGCTCCCTGAAGCCATTTACCAAGCCGTTGTTTAGGCTCATGAGTTGTACCTGCGTGAGAAAAGCAGATGTCTTTGGCTTTAGGAGGATGTATTCAAAGTCCTGGAAAAGATTAATATACAACTCCTAAGGAAATTGTACTATCCTGACTTTGCTATGGCATTCCTGGAAGCAACTTTGTGGGTGGCATCTAGAGGAATGTGTGTGTATGCGTGTCCAAACATTTTGCCGGGAGGCATGCTGGTTAGTCCCCCCTCCCCACCAACTGGCCAGACATTAACACTTAGGGACATCCTAGGTCTTTAACGTGGAGTTGATGGTGTCTCTAGTTAGAGCAGTTGCCAGAAATTTGGTCAGCCTTATTTCTCAGGAATTTTGGAATGTTTTTGTTTGTTTCACCTGTGCTCCAAATGACAGTGTATCTTTTCTTCCATGATGGAGAAGAAAGTGGTGTTTGTGCGTTCCAGGGAATATCGTCACATAAAAGCTGGCTGGCTTGATTTCTCTTCGAAATGAATAGAGTGTCTCGTGGCTCTGGGGAACACGGGGCTACTTGTGCTCTGACTGTGCCCATGCTGTGGGAGGAAAGGGGCCACTGGGATCATTTGAAGTTTAACTGCTGCTGACAGTGGAGGGGACCCGGCTTTGACGGAGGAGTCTTCTCACATCCAATGGCGTTTGGTGAGCTTGGGGGATTCATTAATTCAAACATCGAATGTTTTGCAGCCACCCTATGGTGCAGAATCTTACCAGATGTTCCCTGGCTCCGCCAGGCAAAGCTTGGCTGCTGTTGGGCACAGAGTACCTGCTGTTCTCGCTGCTCTTGGAGGTCCGGCTGCGAGCTCTCTGCAGGATTAGAAAATGGTGCTAATGAGGCCTGGGCCACAAGCGGGATCCAGGTGGGAGCCAGTTACCTTTTTACAGAGGAAACCTTTGTCCTTTGGCCCCAGTTTGCACTAGCCCCTGCCAGTCATTCTACAAGTGGGAACCAGGAGAGAGTCTGGGCATGAATGAGGGATTCATTTGCAGCCTAAGGACTTACAGGACCCCTTTCTAGCATCTTCTTGACAGGTGTGAGCCAGTGAGTATAATTAACAGGAGGCAAGGACACAGTCAAACATGAAGCTTCGCAAAAGTATCTGCTATAGAAACAAACTCAAAGAGACATCGCTTTCATACCCATGCTGGCCAGGAGGAAAACAAGGAACTTAGCTAATATGGGTTTAAATCTAATATGTGTCCAATACAGCTCTCAGTCTTCAGTCACCTGGATGCTAGCGGGAAATAGGCAGGAGGTAAATACATGAATAACCCGAGCACAAGAATGCAAGCCAACTGCAAATATATCCAAAATGCTGTAGGAATTATTGGAGAGAGATCGTAATAACAGAATTCACTATTGATTAGTCTGATAAAAATTCATCTTCCTTTTCCATCCTAAGAGATCTTGGGGTTTTGTTTAGGATTCCACATCCTGCCTCATGATTATGGGCTTCATGGGAACTAATCTCACATCCAGCTTCAGGGAATTTAAGCTGATTATTTTAAATCAATACTGGGAATGTTGTTATTTTCTCATATACATAATTTATGAGCAGTTAGGCAGCCAACTGTGGCCAGGAATAGCTGGGAGGAGCAGCGTTAAGCGAAAGTCTCCACATGAGAAGGAGGGGGAGAAAGAGGGAGAGCATGGAGATGGGAGAGAGAGAGGGGGAGGGAGGGAGGGAGGGGGAG